CAAAAATTGTCACTTAACGCTTGAAAAGAAGAAACAGCCAACTGACAGAAATACATAAAATCAGGCAAATAAAAAGAAGTGTCTGCATATGTGAAGGCAAATAGAGGAGGGAGACAAATAAACGAATAAGAATTACACCCGACATTATGAATAATTTTATGCAATAATAGAAAAATATATAATAATAATAATAAAAAAAATTATATGTATTACTCGTAAAAAGTATTAAAATTACAAAGAAAAATATGTAATTATACGAGTAGATGTTAAATTAGTGTCTACAAGTTGTAAAACTAATATGAAACAAGTAGGAAAGTATAGTCGGGCATGGCCGACCATATAATACCCTACACCATGAGTATATTTTAAAAATTTTAAGAAACTTTTATGTTGAATTTTACGTTAATTCCAAAGTATTAAAGCAATTTATTGATAAAAAAAAACAAATTTTCTAAATGAGGCTTTATATAGGAGTATAGGTCAAATATTGGCCGATCCTCATTAAATTTGGGAAAAGGATATATTTTTAAATAATAGTTAATAATGTTGAGTTTCATTGAGTTACAAATGGTTACAAGTCAATTTTAGACGTTTAAGACCTTTTTCGAAGGGGGGTTTGTATGGGGGCTAGGGTCAAATAAGGGCCGATCATTACGAAAATCTGCAGTGTCATTTATACTTATATAAAACTTATTTGTGTCAATTTTAGAGAGATAATAGTATATTTCACGTAATTATGGCATAAAAAGCCCAAATCGGGAGGTACGGTTGTATGGGGCTAGGTGAAATAATGTTGTGCCAAAAAACATGCTTGGTCCAAATTTCATCAAATTATGTTGAAAATTGCGGCCTGTACTTAGCGTACAAGGTTTACATGGACAGCCAACCAGCCAGCCGGACAGACGGACGGACGGACATGTCTTAATCGACTCAAAGGTGGGTGTAGGACCAATATTTTTGTGTGTTACAAACATCAGCACAAACGTATAATACCCTCCCCACTATAGTGGTGTAGTGTATAAAGACTTTCCAGTTAGAGAATCGAAGAAACACTTGTAACTAGTACTTGTACACGTATGGCTTTAATTGGTTATTGCCTGATTGGTTATTGCGAGAATATTAACTACAGGTTGATATTATAAATTATTGTACTTTATAACCAGATTGTCAGATAGTAATAAAGGTATTAAAAAGTACTGCTTTACTAGATATAAAACTTTAGATTTTCACCCAAAATATTGAATTTTGGAAATAAAATGTATCACAGATTTCCATCCTATTAACCCTATCTCCTCTGGTTTAGCCAGAAAATGGACTTTTAGGTTTTCAGCCAAAAAAATTGAATTTTGATAGGAAATAAAAGTGATCACAGATTTTCATTCTTTTGACCCAAACTTCTCTGATTTACAATCGAATTTTGGTAGAAAATAGAAGTGATCAATGATTTTTGTCCTTTTGACCCTTCTTCTTGCAGCTTTCTGGTTTAGCTCAGAAAGTAGACTTTTAGGTTTTTACCCAAAAATTTAAAATTGAACGTAGTTAAAAGTAAATGACTTTTCGAATAATCTTAAGAAGTCCACTTAGGTTTAAGACAACTTCTGTTGGAGAATGAGAATGAACTTCCTATATAATATACTTGTTTTGTTTACTTTGAATTTAATCAATTTAGTTTGTAAATTTTAATTAGAAAATTTATTGATAGAAAAATAAATTTTTCATTCCTTGTTTTTCCGTAAACCAAATATCACCTATTAACAGGTTATGGGCCCTTCCGCTATATAAGGGTAGTTAATTTCGCGTGTGTAATAATAAATAAAAATAATTTAAGAATGTCCAATAACAATCAAATTGAAAAGCTTCGCGGAAGTGAAAATTATGAAGATTGGAAATTTACAGTTGAGGCTTATTTCCAAATGAAAGGTCTTTGGAAAGCAGTTCTTGGAACTGAAACAAATCAAGATAAGCAAACACAAGCGAAGGCGGAATTAATTCTGTTGGTGGATAAAACTATTTATCCACACATTCGTAATTGTAATAGTGCGAATGAAATATGGGGTACACTCTCAACAATTCTTGAAGACAGCGGACTAGTAAGAAGAGTTGGATTAATACAAAAGTTTTGTTCAACAAAATTACAAAATTGTGCAAATGTTGAAGAATATGTTAATGAAATTCTAACAACAGCACACAAACTAAGAGGAGCTGGTCTCAGTGTCGATGAAGAATGGGTAGGTTCAATGCTACTAGCGGGGTTACCAGAAGAATATAATCCAATGATAATGGGTATTCAAAGTTCCGGAATAAAAATAACTGGAGACGCCATCAAACTAAAATTGTTGCAAGATGTTAAGAAGGAATCAACAGAAGTTGCGTTAGCTGGTCAGAAGAAATTCGTCAAAAATAAAGGACCAAAATGTTACAATTGCAACCAGTATGGACACATTGCAACAAAATGTCCTAAGAAATCGAAGCCAAAATACAACAAAAATTCAAATGCCATGATTGGATGCTTTTCTGTGCAAGAGTTAAACAAAAGTGAATGGTTTTTTGATTCTGGTGCGACAGCACATATGTGTTCTAATTTAAAATTCTTTAGCAACCAATTTCAAGAAAAGAATGCTGAAGTTACAATTGCTAATAAAGAATCAATGCAAGTAAAGGGTTGCGGTCAAGTTGATATGATTGCTAAGGTTGGAAAATTTAAAGAAGAAAATGTGATGTTTCGTGATGTGCTTTATATTCCCAACTTATATGTCAATTTGTTATCAGTTTCGAAAATTGTGGAATCTGGTTATGAAGTCGCATTCAATAAAAAAGGGTGCAAGGTATTGAACAACTTCGGTAAGGTTATTGCAACAGGTGACCTGGTGAATGGTATGTTTAAATTAAACATTGCAAGTAACAGTGTGCTTATTTCTGAAGTGAAAAATGAAGAATACAACTTGTGGCATAAACGTATTGGCCATGCAAATGATGAAATCTTAAAAAGTATGAAGTCTGGTGCAGTCAATGGTGTCAATTGTGAAATTAACAAGCAAAACTGCATTACTTGTATAAAAGGTAAGCTATCAAGATCTCCATTTAAGGATCCTGGAACGAGAGCAACAGAGTTATTAAGCCTAATACACTCAGACCTTTGTGGACCTATGGAAGTACCGTCAATTAATGGTTCAAGATATATGCTAATATTCGTTGATGATTTTAGCAGGAAAGTAACGGCCTATTTTATAAAAACCAAAGATGAAGTAACAGATAAATTTATGGAGTTTAAAAACTTGGTTGAAAATCAAACTGGAAGAAGAATAAAAGCATTAAGAACTGATAATGGAACTGAATACTGCAATGGGAGAATGAAGAAAATTTTTATTCAATACGGAATTGAGCATCAAAAGACAGTGCCTTATACGCCACAACAAAACGGCATGTCAGAGAGAATGAACCGTACTATTATTGAAAAAACAAGATGCCTTTTAATTGAATCCCGTCTACCAAAGAAGTTCTGGGCTGAAGCTGCAAATACGGCTGTATATTTAATAAACCGCACTCCATGTAAAACTTTAAATAGTGTTTCTCCTGAAGAAATATGGTCTGGTAAGAAACCAAACTTGAAATATCTTAAAGTTTTTGGATGCAAAGCTGTGATACATATAGCAAAAGAAAAGAGAAGAAAACTTGATGCTAAAGCAAAAGAATCAATTTTCGTTGGCTATTGTACACACTCCAAAACCTATCGGTTCTATGACGTTAAATCAAAGAAAGTCGAGTTAAGTAGAGATGCCAAGTTTTTAGAAAACGAATTCTATAATGAAATGCCTAGTGATGATTCTAAGTTCTATATTATACCGGGATGTGATTCAGTGGGGGATGTGGATGATCCAGAAGATATATGTTCTGATGATAGAAATCCAACAGATAATGTTGATGAATGCTCCGATGAAATAAATCCTACAGATACTATTGATATACGTTCAGATGCGACAATTACATATTCAGAAATGCCAAGTATTGGAGAAGAAAGTAATTCTGATGAAGATCAATATTTTTCTGATACTGATGAGACATCGCCTAGAAACAATGATGATCAAAGTAACGACTGGGTACCTGGACCATCTGTGAGAGGAATCACATCACCTGAAACTGTAAGAAAGTCATCTAGAACGCCAAAACCAGTTCAAAGGTATGGGTATGAATGCAATGTTGTTCAAGTGGATGAAGAACCCAAAACAGTGAAGCAAGCATTAGAAAGTTCTAACAAAAATGAATGGCAACGGGCTATGGATGAAGAACTAAACGCTTTAATTGAAAATGGAACATGGGAACTTGTAAAACTACCAAAAGGAAAGAAACCTATTGATAGCAAATGGTGTTTCAAAATAAAGAGGAACTCTAAAGGTGATATAGAGCGATATAAAGCGAGGTTGGTCATAAAAGGCTATTCCCAATGCTACGGAATTGACTATGAAGAAACATTCTCTCCTGTAGTTCGATATTCCTCAATTCGACTACTCCTAAGTTTGGCCGTTCAGCACGACTTGGATATAGACCAAATGGATGTGGTGACAGCTTTCCTCCAAAGTGAACTAAATGAGGAAATATATATGAAGATCCCTGAAGGTTTCACTGAAAAGAAAGACATGGTATGTAAACTTAAAAAATCTTTGTATGGTCTTAAACAAGCTAGTAGATTGTGGAATCAAAAGCTGGATCAAACATTGAAGAAAATTGGATTAACTCAATCAAAAACGGAACCTTGTGTATATTACAAGTTAGCCAAGGATGAAATAACTTATGTAGCAATTTACGTTGACGACATTTTGATATTTACAAATAATTCAAAAAATAAATTGAATATAAAGAAACGTCTTACAGAAAATTTTAAAATGAAAGACATTGGTGAAGCGAACTACATCTTGGGGATGAAAATTACAAGAGATAGAAAGAATGGAAAACTATGGCTTGATCAGGAACAATATATTAACAATATTTTGAAGAAATTTAAGATGGATGACTGCAAGCCAATTTCAACTCCATTGGATATTAACCAGAAAATTTCAAAAGATATGTGCCCACAAACAAAGGAAGAGAGTGATGACATGAAAACCATACCGTACCAAGAAGCAATAGGAAGTATTATGTATGCAGCTCAAGTAAGCCGTCCTGATGTATCGTTTGCAGTGGGGGCTTTAGCTAGATATAACAATAATCCTGGAAAGGCACACTGGCAAGCAGTAAAGCGCATAATGAGATACCTCAAAGGGACAATAAATTACAAGTTGCAGTTCTCAAAAGATGAAAATGCACACATTGAAGGATTCTCAGATGCGGATTGGGCTGGCGACTTAGATGATAGAAAATCAACTTCTGGTTACGTTTTCAAATTTCAAGGAGGTTGCATTTCGTGGAACTCCAAGAAGCAACAAACAACAGCTTTATCAACAACAGAAGCTGAATATATGGCTTTGGCAGCAGCTGGGCAAGAGGCGTTGTGGCTACGATCTCTGTTCAATGAACTTGGACGATCATCGTCTATTGTGATAAAGTGCGATAATAAAAGCGCTATAAATTTGTCGCATAACAGTACTTATCATGCTCGCTCTAAGCACATTGACATACGACATCATTTTATAAGAAATCTCGTAAATGACAAAAAGGTTGTTATTGAATATCTGAATACCGAGGATATGGCAGCTGATGTCTTAACGAAATCCCTAACAAGTTTAAAGCATTTACATTGTTGTGATATTATGAATCTTGGCGTTCATCCTAGTGGGGGTGTTGGAGAATGAGAATGAACTTCCTATATAATATACTTGTTTTGTTTACTTTGAATTTAATCAATTTAGTTTGTAAATTTTAATTAGAAAATTTATTGATAGAAAAATAAATTTTTCATTCCTTGTTTTTCCGTAAACCAAATATCACCTATTAACAACTTCCAATTAACGTCCATTAAGATGTTATACATAAATGAATCGAATGCAAACACCCTTTAAAAACTATAACATCTATTTCCTAATCTGTTGTGCTTTCTTATTACAACTTAAAATCCAGTTTTTCAAGAAAAATACAGACAATCCATCTCCAAAAGTCAATTTAAAACAAATAAATTATAAAAATAATAAAACGAAAACATCAAATACAAAAGAAAAGCTATTAAAAACACTTAAATTTTAATTAAAACAAAATATTAAAACAATACGAAACCAGAACAAAACATCCATTGAGTGTCCTGTTTTTTGTATTGTGCAGTAGCTTCATTTTATTCCTTAATGAAATATACACAAACATAAGAAAAAGCTTAAACTATAAAAGAAAAGGAGATCCTCTTGAATAAATGTTGGAAATGAAAATGCAATTTTAAAACTTGTATTAATAAAATATTGGTACAAAACTGTAGAAGGACCATTATACGAGGCAGGTAATGACAAGTTTAGCAAAAATCTACATAGAAATCGATTAATGAAGCAAACTTGGACTGTTGGAAAGTATGAACATTTTTATGCTGCTCTCGTAAACTACAAGAAAAGACAAATGTTTTCTTTGCCACCATTGTATTGCTAAATGACACTGATGCTTAAACTGATGCATACCCATACTCTCTCTTTCTCTCTCTCACACCAACACATACATTTCTGTTGCAGTAATAAAGAAAATTTAACCTAGCATTTCATTGCATTCAGTCATTTCCGTTTCCGTTGCACAAGTATTTCTTTAAATGTGTGCTTGAAAAACAAAACAAAATAGTTTTGCTTGCTTGCTGCTTTTGTTGTACTGAATATAATATTTCCTTCATTTAAGTTTTGTAAGTATGTCTGTTGTTCTTATTGTGTGTGTGTGTGTCTCTATAGGGCACATAGAGAATAATGGCAAATTGTAACAGAAAACTAAAATGCTACAAAAAGAAAATTGTATATCATAAAACTATGCTTTTGTAAAATTGATTTGATTAAAAGTGGCTGCTCTGCATTGAATACAAAATTAGTTAGAAAGGAAATATTTCGCAACACTTGCCACATTTGCAGTCAGTGCAGCACGGACATACACACGCCTAGGAAAATCTTTTATAGAAGCAAAGGAAAACTAACATACCCACCCAAAGAAGAATACAACAGTTTGAAAGGATACAAACAACGCAGCATCAATGCGTAGGAGAATAGTGTTATAGTTGAACGTGTGAAAAATGAATATTTGGTTTTAAATTCATTGCTGTTGCTTAAGAAACGAGGTTCGAAATTAAAATTTAGTGAGAAAATTTACTAAAATACAAAAATTTGTTCCAATGACTGAGATAATAATGTAATACAAAAGTTGAACAGATATTTGAGCAGGAAGTGGTATCAGAAATATGTAACTAATTTAATCAATTCCGACCTTATGGGATCTCCAATATACTATAAATGTTATATATTATATCTTGAATATTTGTCTGTAAATTGATTACGAATTTACGATCACCGTAAAAAGTGTTGGATATTCTACAAAATTATTATCTCATCAATCGATATTGTGAAGAACGTCCCAAATTGATTGCACCTAACATCAATATTAATATCGGAAAGTGACGCTAGAAGTTATTGTAGTTGTGATTAAAATCGATCTTTTTGTTACAGAAGATCGGCACTATTGTATTGGTAAATAGCAGACTGAATGGCGCTTCTAATGGCGCTCAATTCTGCAGTAAGTGTCAAAGCAGGAGGCTGGTGATCTGATAGAAAACAACAGGCATACTATAAACCTATATATAGAAATGTTAACTATTGTCTACCGAAACTCAAGGATTCATGTATAAATGAACTAATCGATCTGATGATATATTGAAACCATCTATGGGTCTAAAGGCAACTGTTTACCTATTGTGCTCTTCAATCAAAAATATCTGCTAGAAAGTCTGCAGCTAAAGTCTAGATATCTGTTTATATGACAGCAAAGCTGGCGCAAAAGGAGTCATCTACGTTAGTATAGTAAGGTGACTGTAATTGCCAGGACAAATATATAGTCAACAAACTAGACTAATAAGGGGCTTATTCAGTCAGAAATATTTGCTATAAAACCTGCATCTAAAATACAGATAGCTGTTTATATAACGACAGGAAAGCAGGCGCAAAAGGCATCATCTACGTTAGTATAGTAAGGGGACAGGTAATTACCAGGGCAAATGTATAGTCAACAAACTAGACTAATTGGGGACTGGGAATAGAAACACCGTTAGTGGAATCTTCCTACTTTAAGCTGACTAATTATTGTCACTCTCTTCAATCCTGACAATCTAGCCTACAAAGGGCGAGTAATTTCTTGACCTCTATATGAATCAGATTACTAGATACCTTCGAATATAATGCTGACCAATTATTGTCACTCTCTTCAATCCTGCAAATCTGGCCGGCTCCAAAATGCAACATAAACTACATGAACAAGTTTATTATAATGAAGCCATTTGCCATGTTTTGAGATTTACCTGAAGAAGAGTATTTGCATTTGTCATTAAAGGGCACTGAGTTATTGACACACATGTGATTAAACGATAGAAGTTGTCGAAACTAAAAGGGAATTACTCTGTCTTTTATACACCTCTTTTTTAAGAATGGAAGAGCCATATCGTATAAATTTCAAAGATCTTTACAAATTTTCTCAAGAGATTACTGTAGAAACAGTGAATAATAAATGAAGAGTGATCAACTTTAAACCTAAACTAATTTTGTACATGCAAGTCTAGTGCTTGAATACAGTGGCTCCAGAAGGTGTCTAAATGAAGACAATGATGAGATAATAATGAGAGCGTTACGTTGGTACTATCAATCTGTCAGGTATGGAGAAGTATGGAACTATATTATAATCCTACACAATTGTTCAGATTTAGGACCGTATTCAGAAGGAAGAATGTAAAACTATAATCAAAATTTTGCATGAAGAATACTAACAAAAACTAAGTAGTTTTCATACAAGATTTCAAAAATTGATTTCTTTCCTTCTTTCTGCATTCGGGCCGAAAAATGCTTATTAGGCACTGAATGACGAGTATTGGAATATTAAAGGAAATACAAATTCCTCAAAAATTTCCAGTGATTAATATATTTATTGAAAACAAGAAGACATTGCTTTTGATTAGAAATTGTAGAAAACAAAAGTTGAAATAGTTTGAGATAATCACACTACAATCACTGAACATAACATAAAACCAATAATTTCGAACATTTTTTCATACACTTTTTCAATTTCACAATTTTCTCACCATATAAACATAAACCGCCCTCGTGCGTATATAATATCAACCATACAGTTGATTTGATTATAGCAAATAGTTTCCTTTAAACTTAAAATAGTTTTCTTTGGTAACAATGAGCTCGTGAAAACAAACAAAAGGGTTTTATATAACATGACCAGCAAGCAAACTTAACTAAACACAAAGTTATTTTTAAAAGAATATGGATGTATAAAAAAGTTTATTCAATTTGTTTAAATGGTAAAACTTATAAAAAAAAAATAAACGAAAAACTATTTCTATATTATAAATAAAAATAGGAATGCTAACAATAGAGAGTTGCTTAATAAAGGCAGTAAAGCAAATATAACAACAAGTTTACATGCCAAAAAGACCCTTCAAATCGTCCATAGTAAGTTTACTGCCTTCCGAAGCACGGGCACCAGTTAATACACCATTGGCTAATTCCAATTTATGATCTTGTAAAGCTTTAATACGCTCTTCGACAGTATCTTTGCACATAAATTTATAGATAATGACATCCTTTTTCTGGCCCACACGATAAATGCGATCCTGCGCTTGAGCCTCTAACTGGGGATTCCAATGTAAATCGATGAGTAATAAATGATTAGCACCCACTAAATTCAAACCCACACCACCGGCAGTTAGAGATAGTAGTAAAATACGTTTATCGCTTTTGGCTTTATTAAATTCGGTTACAATATCCTGGCGATTTTTAACCGGTATACTACCATCTAGTGAAAGTGTAGCTACACCTTGTCCTTCTATATGAGTTTTAAGTATATTAAGAACACTGGTCCATTGTGAGACTACAATAGCTTTGTCATCCGAACAGAGAACTCTTTCCTTGAGAACTTTTAATACTTTTAACATTTTTGTTGAGGGTCTTTTATAATCAAATATTGGATTGGTACGTTGTAGTACACGCGATGATGCCTTAGCCATAACTTGTTCTTCAGGTCGCATAGAGGTATCATCCTCATCACTATTTAAACTGTGCGACATCATGGGATTACTATCATTCTTATCGGTAATCGCGAGTTTATTGAGTTGTGCGAGTAAATCAATTTCCGGTTGAGAAACATCACTTTCTTCGTCGATATGATGAGCATCTTCGTCTTCTAACATCTGTGTTTAGGGGGGAGCATGGAATTTTGTTCAGACAAAAAAAAATGGGTTGAAGAATTTTTAATTATACAATTATTTTTTTAACCTTTTGTCACATTACAACTTTCACTAAATTTTTTACTCTGGGAATTTCTTTTAACGAACATTTACAGTTTTACGCATTTTGTTATTTCTTAAGGCTCTTTAGGAAGTACTTTTTGGACAGTTTAAGGACTCTGATCGTAAAGATTATACCGGACTTCTGCAGGATGTTATATGTTTATACGGGAATTAGATTTCTATCGTTTGGTGGCTACAGTGCTCCTCTGTCATTTTACTATTTTGATCTAAATCTGACTACGTTCCTCTATCTTTTTCTAAATTCTTTTTTGACTTTTCTACAATCTTTTTATTGATCCAAATCGCTTAATCCTTCCTAAATCAACCTACACTCTAAAC